CCTGGTAGGGACCTGGGAATCAGAGCGGGGCACAACTCATCCCAAGGAAAGGGCCCTCTCCACTGGTGGAAGCTGGGGAACAGACAGGTGCCAGCTTTCACCGTCCTCCCACCAGTGACGGCTGGTCACTGTCTCTGGTTCCCAGGTCCCCATCAATGGAGGAAGGTGAGGGCTGGCAACTCCTGCTTGTTGTGACTAGGACTGAACCAAGCAGGAGGGTTGCAGCAGCAGGTAGCAGCAGGGCCCTTCAGCAGGGTCCTCACAGCCAGGGGCAGGGCCACACAGGTGGTGTTCAGAACAGCCGGGACTGGGAGAGTGGGCGGATGACAGGCCAGCAGTACCAGGGGAGAAGGGGCTCCTCTGACTTACTCATCATTCTCAAGGTGCCCAACTGGAATGGGTGGGACACACAGTGAGGAGGGAAGACACAGAAGGGATTCATGCCAAAAAGTCTAGTTTTAGAAAGCAATTTGGCAATACCTATCAAGTGTCACCAACGTATTTAATGTCCTTTGACCTAGCTAATACCTTTTTTCCAGAAATTTATCTGAAAGAGATCATTAAAGGCTCGATGCTCAAACATCTTCATTACTTTGTTTTTTTATAAATAGCCAAAAAAAGTGGAAACAACCTAAACATTAAATACTCTAATGAAATGCAGTTGCAAGCACAATGAAGACACAGGTAATATTTTCCTGTCTAGATTTCCAATCACTGGTGCCACTGTTCTCAGCTCCACTGATGCTACCCCGACACGGACAGCACTGGCGGAGCAGGAGACAGGCACCCAGAGATGCAGGAGAAAATTACCTTTGAGTATTTGTAGGACACGTTGGAACTTCTTCTGCAGCAGTTGGTCAGTCTATTCATCACCGTTTCCCTGTAACAGAGGAGCACATAATTACTGAGAGGGGGACAGAACCCACACTGCCAGCTGTGACCTCCTCCAAGGGGCAGTGGCAATGGTGACATGTGTCCTACAAACACAGACCTCTAAGTTAACAGGCGTTATGAACAACCTATGACAACTGTGTGCGCCAAGGGACTAGCCAATGGCAGGACACAGAGATGTGCGTGACACGTCCTACCCTGCACCCCAGACCCTCTGCCCCAAGTCTGTGCTTCTGGGTGTGAATGGCCAGGGCCAGGTCTTCTCGGCCACCTCCTGCTCCCAGGCCAGAGCCACCAGTGGGAGCGAACATGAAAATCTACTTGACAGTCCCGTGATGTGTGATGAGTCCTTTCACCATGTGAAGCAGAGACAGAAGGACAGCATCACAGCCAATACTCTGCCAGCACTTAATAAATGCTCACTTTTATGATGGGGAAAGGCAGAGGGGTCAGCTGAGCGGCAGGAACCCCGCCAGTGAAAGGTGGTGTGTGTTGTTCTACCAATCCTCAGGCACAAGACACCACCATGTAGCGTGCATGCTGCACCTCAGCCTCTATCAAGCAGTGCACCCTTCACAAAAAGCAGACATTTAAAAAGCAAAACTTTGGAAAGTGCTTCCATACGGTGTTTCAAACTAAGATCCTTAAGACCCTTGCTGCCGTTGGGCTTAAAAAGAAAAAAATCTGAGCCCAAGACGTGACATTGCAACACGCGTCCTGACACCCACCCACCATGGCCTCAGCACGTCCCTCCTCACCTTCTTTCCTTCTTATACAGCAGCAAGGCCAGCAGGCAGCCGGTGAGCGCCACCAGGAGCAGACTCAGGACCGCCCCGACGGCCTGGCTCCGCTCGGAGAGCCCCTTGTGCCCCTGAGAATCCCCAGAATTCTCGCTGTCGAAATCCATCCTGGAAGGAAACCACAGGAAAGGACACCATGTCACTGGGCAGTACTATCGCCACAGTCACGTCCCCAGGAATGCCCAACTTGGAGAGCTCTGCCTTTACGGACAAAGATTCCCAGTCCAGCCCGGTAAAATGAGACCTGCTTGACATGGAAAAGGGGAACAAATGAAAACCCCCTGATGAGTTTGAAGGCAGGGGTATCGGAAGACAGACAAGAAAACACACTCCCCACTTCCTGGAAAGCTGTTACATTTAGGACATGAGGAAAGATGAGCCTCAGAGCCACAGCCCTCAGGCCAGCTTCCCCTAGGGTGGGACTCTCCGGGGTGGGCAAAGGCCCTTCTGCAGTGAAAACTCTGAGGAACCTGCTGGCCACACTCCTCTCCCAGTGCCAAGGCCCGTTCTTCTCTCTGAACTTACTCTGGGAAGAGGCAGTGAACACAGCCCAGGTGCCAGCTGCTCCACTGAGACACAGCCTCAACGCTCTACAGGGGCTGAGGGTATGGCCACAGGACAACCCTGGGCCTGGGCACAGAGCCCACCGTGCCACTTCTCTCCAAGCCTGTTATGTCCCAGGCGGGCACTAGTGGGAACACATCAGCTCTGGAATCACAATTCCCCTCACCTCCACCCCCAGCACTGCACGTATACTGAAGAGGAAAACCGTATATTTCCATGACATTAAATAGTCAAGGACAGTTGTGAAAATAACACAAAATGAGAAACAACTGGACAGACTTCCCTTTCTGCCCAGAGGACAACACATATGACACGACTCAACACTTCTAATCTTTCCGGCCCTCTGTCATTTGGAGCCGCACACGCACAAAAACAGACTCATGTAACAGAAATTCTTCCCCACCCAGAGAAGGCAGAGAACAGCGATGAGAAAAACACGAACATACTGCTCAGGATAAAAAGAGAGGCCACCTCAGCAAGCCTCACCCCTAACGAAGCCGGATGCCGAGGCTGCTGGCTGCTCATCTAGAAATGTACTTATTAGGGCAGGCCTGGCTCCAAGCAGTTGGGTCAGAGGGTAACCAACCAACCAACCAACCAGCAGCTTGGGCACGTAAGGGGAAATGAGTCAAAAGTCAGCGTGAGTGATCTCGTTTACAGCGTGAGAAAGATGAGCAGCAACAGCGCTGGGTGTTCAGGGCTACCTTAGCTGGCAGTGCCGACCTCTGCTGGGGGACGCGCCCCCACACCACGCAGATGTGCAGCCGGTTCTGCAGATCCTCTCCCCTCCAAGCCAGGAACCAAGGCACTCCAGAACCAGCCTGGGCCACTGACAAACACCTCAGATGTATCCCAAGAGATCTTCACCATGATCCGGTTCTCAGTGTATTTTAATTTCTACCTTTGACTTCTTCTTTAAACTATGGATTATTTAGAAACATGTTTTAAGTTTCCAAATGTGCCTGTACTTTACAGCTATTGTCTGTTCCTTATTCCTAACTTCATTGCACCAAGCACGTAATTAATTCAGTATCAACGTTTAGGAATTTGTTGAGACTTGACTCTTTCATGGTTAATTTCAACAAAGTTTTGTAAAGGCTCCATGTGAGGTTGAGAAAATGGTTCCCAGAGTTGGGAACAGTGTTCTGAGTGTGTCTATTAAATCCAGCCTTTCCCTGTGCTGTCCAACTTTGCAAAAACCTTTCCTTTTTGTCTACTTGACCCAGCAATCACCAAGAGACAGAGATTTACCATCTCATCTCCTCCTGTGTGTGGTCTGCCAATTTCTGCTCTACACATTGAAGCTTTTTTATTAGACTGACATAACTTTAGGATTCTTGCTGTTTTCCTAGTAAATTGACCCTTTTAAAAAGTATAATGACCCTCTTTATCCCCAGGGTAGTTCCTTTCCATCGTATCTGGTATTAACCTAAGTGCGGCTTTCTTTGGCATTACTTGCCAGGCATACCTTTTCTTGTCCTTTGACCTTTCGTCTCTTCTGTGTCCTTGTTTAAGGCATATTCCCAGTAAGTTGTTTTTCAAATCCAATTTGACCATGTGTCTTTTAATTGGCAGGCTTAGTCCATTTTCGTTTACAAGTATTGATATATTTACATTTATTTCCACCACCTCAGGTTGGATTTTGTTAGGTTGTATCCTTTTTTTGACTTCTTTTGAGACTTAAGGTGTTTTTAATTTCTCCTCTTCTGTATTGTTTTGGAAGTTATATACAACGTTTCTATTATTTCAGAGGTTAGTCTTGAAATTCTGGCATGTATACTAAGACAAAAGGTCTGTAATTAATGTCTTTCAAACAATAAGGAAGTTTACCTTTTTCTTCCATCCTTTCTTTCAAGAAAATAATTTCATTTTAATATAATGCTGTTATCCTAAGAAAGAGAGCCTCTGATTCCCACCCGCTAAGCCTACACGCACACCATTGTCACCCAGCACAGTAAGTGCCCGCCTAATGCTGTCCACAGGTTCTGCAACAGGAAACTGCAACTCCAAACTAAATTAATGTGATTTCCTTCAACATGGGTTTGTTACAATGTTGATGAGGAAATAAAAAGGTTTTCTTAAAGTTGTACTTTCCAAGAACCTATGAACAACATTTTTTTCTTTAATTGATGGGGATTCACTGAGAGTACGAGAAGCCAGGTTACCCTGATAGCATATGTTAGGTAAAGTCCCTTTTACAATTGTGCCTTGCCTCCAAAGGTGTGTCACACACCGAGAGAACCTATGGACAACGTTAAGTGAGAATGTACTATATTTTACTTTTTCTTATTTTTTAATTCAACTAATTAGCTTCCCTTGAAGCTTTGGCTATCTTCTCAGTACACGGGGCTATTCTGGTATTTCACAACCATGAATGGCGTTTTGTCCTGGTGATTAACTCTGCCGGGCACGTGGCAGGCCCATTCCATCTGAAAAATGTGTGTTTTTTAACTTTGTGAGAGTTGTTTTATTATTTTACTTAATCAGAAGTATATAAACACTGATTATTGCTTTAACCAAAAATTGTGAAATAACCATGGTTGGGAAGCAGGAAGAGGGTGTAGGACTCTCTGGCATCAAAGGACGACAACAGGTGGAATATAAAATGTTAATTTAAAATACTGAAGTATTATCTTAAACATTGTTATTAAATTTTAAGCCTTTTTAATTTTGTGAAGGCAAAAAGTGGAAACCAAATAAACACATGTATATATAGAGAAAAAATAAAAAAGTAAAAAAAAAAAACTGAAGTAAAATTCCAGAAAAAACAGCCAAAAGAACTAAAAATGGTCATCTGTGAGGGTGACAATTACTACTAACTTGTTATATTTATGTAACTGTAGCACCTCTGTGAATTGACCACCCACGGGACTGTAGGAAGCTGGCCAACACACAGAGGTGGTCTCCGTAAGGAACCAGGCCTGCTGCGCTGATATGTACGAGTACATGTCCAGTCTGTGAAAATGAGGGCAACTTCAGGAGGTGGTCAGTGTGGGGAGGAGGTCTGCTGTATTTTAAAACGTGCAATACTTTGATAAAGAAGAATCATCGCAGCTGCTACCCCATGCCATACCCGTGAGTGGCCGCACCCAGCAGAACCCTCCCGTGTCTGTCCCAGCATGAGGCAGGCAATCTGTGACTGCCCCTAATGGGTAGAGGTTTTGCTGCTTGTTTTAACTCTTGTTTTCCTTTTTAAAAAATCTTTACTGCTTTATCAAGCACATTAAGGCATTTAAGCAGCTCCCATTTCTGATGTTTAAATGTCATGGAAAGCAAGGTCTCCTATACAACCTCTTTTCTGGTTTTACAGGAAAACCCCAAAGTCCCATACGCTGGCCCCCAACTGCGTCCTATTCACATGAAGTTTGACTCCCAAATTTCCAACACGGACAAAATCTCAGGCTGGGCTGGTTTCCTCCAAACACACACAGAAAACCAGCTGCTGAGGTGGAAGGCAGGGTTAAAACTCACATTTTGCTTCTTCCGCAAAGAACTGCACTTTTAAAACTTATTTTGTAACGGCCTCACAAGAACTCCATAAATATACTGGGTGCCAAAAATGTATACACAATTTAAGAAAGGAAAAAGACTGTATTAAAATTGTTAATACTCAACATACACCGGTAACAAAAGATGAATACAAGTTACATTTAACTTCTGCAGTTACCACAGGTGCTCCAAGAGGTCACCGCAGTGTCCAGACACGCTGAACAGAGCAATGGAGAAGTAACACAGAGATAGTATCTCTTATGATGCATGTTTTTGTGTGGTTTTTTTTTTTTTTTTTGGCACCCCTGGTATTCAAAAGCAGAAAAAAAACATTGGTGAAAAGTCTCTTTTCACTATTTTGGTACCATTCCCAACATTCTCTGTGACTGTGTAGCTCAGCTCCTTACATCCCCAGCCCTGGAATACTAGGACAAAGCTGACTATTTTTTACTGAGCTAGTACCTATAGATAAAAGAAAAAGAACAGTGGTTTAAGACCTGAAATATGTGATCTGAATCTCCCCATCATCCCAGCCACTATGGTGTGCTGCCCTAGGATCCCTTTTTCAGAAAATGAAGGAACCAACCACATGTTAGGAATTCGTTTTTCTCTTGATATTAAAATCTTAGGACAGAGAATGAAAAGTCTGTGTGACATGGCAGGAGAAACTTGGAAAGCATAACCCAAGAGGAAAGCTAATAGCACAGACGTGGGCAGCGGAGGGAATGGCTGGGAGACTTGGCCACAGGAGGTGGCACCCTCCTGCAGAGCAGAGCTGAACTGCTGCTCAGGAGCCCCGGCCTGCTGCTGATTTTCAAGATCTGTAGGGTAAGTTTCTTTTTTTTTTTTTTTTTTGAGACAGAGCCTCAAGCTGTCCCCCTGGGCAGAGTGCCATGGCATTACAGCTCACAGCAACCTCCAACTCCTGGGCTCTAGCGAGTCTCCTGCCTCAGCCTCCCAAGTAGCTGGGACCACAGGCGCCCGCCACAAACGCCCGGCTATTTTTTGGTTGCAGCCGTCATTGTTGTTTGGCGGGTCCGGGCTGGGGATTCGAACCCGCCACCTTAGGTGTACGTGGTTGGCGCCTTAGCTGGTTGAGCTATAGGCGCTGAGCCAGGGTAAGTTTCTCATTCACTCAAACATAGAAAATAGTTCACTCAAATCAAAGTGAAGGTTTACCTCACAAATAGCTTATATTAGGACAGAAAAGGTATTCTGGGAATACACAGATGAGAACCAGCTGATACCAGTGAAGGTGGGGGTAGGAGTGGGGAGGAGGCTGGAGCAGGAATTGCTCCAACTGGACCCTGTTCGGGTCACCACGTACATGGAGGAAGCCCAGCCAACCTGCTGGGGGTGGTAGGCAGTGATGACGCTGGCCCTGGGAGCTGGCTGTGTGGGGTATGAATCTATAATTTTCTCTCTTTTGGGGGCAGGTTTGAGTATTTCACCATAAGACACTGTGGGGGAGAGGCCACCCACACACACACACACACCCACACACACACACACCCCGGAGTGAGGCTCGCGAGACGCTGTGCTGGGAGGCTGCACTCACCTCAGAGGACACACGGCCGAGGTGTACCAGGAGAACAGATACTGGCAGTCAGCAGTCTCGTGGCTGAACTCGGGGCTCCCGTCCTTCACCAGTGGGTCGCAGTGGAAGAAGATGGTGGATGAGACAGACTTTGTCTTATCCTTTCCACATTTAGAGGAAGAGGCAAACACAACATCCAGATCACCATCTGTCACAAAGGAAAGAACACACACAACCACAGCACCATTACCATCCACTTCAATGACAGCCCAAGGTCATTTCCGCATCATTTGTAGTTTGCAAAGACGTAACATCAGATGTAGGGATTTTTCATCAGATGTCCCCCACACACTGCTTCACTGCTTAGAAAGGCCACTCGACGCCCATTTGCAGAGCTCCTGGCTAAGTCAAAGTGTAGTAAAGAATTTAACCTTGTCCTAAAAAGGGTCTGGCCTCTGGCCTCAGCTACGGATAGGACCTGGAATAGGCCATGTAATACTTGGGACCAGCCAATCACACATCTATGCAATGGAGCCCCAGTAAAACCCTGGCCACCAGGGCTCAGGTGACCAGCCCCACTGGCAACACTCCACGCATATTGTCTCACATCAGTGCTGAGAACAGAACAGGTTCTGGTTCCACAGGAACAGGCCAACAGAGGCTCTGCGTTCAGGTTCCTCCTAGACTCTGCCTTATGTGCGTCTCCCCTTAATTTTAATCTATATTTTTCTGGTGTAATAAATCATAACCATTGAGTATAACAGCTTCCAGTGAGTTCTGTGAGTCCACTGAATCTGAGGGGAGTTTGGGGAGGGGAGGCCTTGAACTTGGAGCTGAGCCTTGCAGAAGTGAGCCCTGCACGGACTTGCTGCCATCAGACATGGTAGTTGGCTTGAACTACCAGGAACACAGACAGCAGCATGGACGGCCGTGACCACAAAGACAGGGGAATCCAGAGACAGAGACACATAGCTCAGCCTGCAACAGGCCTGAGTTCTCGCTGGGGATAGGCCAAGGCAGGAACTGTACCCTTCTGCAGGGCTGTCGTGGGGGAGCAAATAGCCAAGTTCGTGGGGGTCAATGTGGCCGCTCTACTCCATGGCTAGAGATAGGGCTTCTTAGCTCCCTGTTCCTGCCCTCTCAGAGAAATGACGGTGAGACTCATGAAGAGATTTAAACCTCATTTCTTCAAAAATGAGCAAAGAGATCTTCAAAGCTACTTCCTGGAGCTGATGAATGAAGAAAGTGAAAAGGTCCGAAAGAGATTTTATTAAGCATAAAGAGATGTGTATGTGCACATGTGTGCAGGCACGCATCCTGGACGTGGGGATTCTAGAAGGTCCACTAGTCACACAGTGGACGAGGAGCTTCTTACTCTTAACCAGACAATGTTGCAGGGCTATGCTGTGGAGCCCGAAAGCTACTGCAGACACATGAGGCAGTGTAGCCCTGGGCAGGGGGAGGAAGAGGCCCTCTGTGCAAGGAACAGCATGTATGAAGACACCAGGCTACAGGATGACTTTGGGGTCCATGAATCACTGGATGGCCAGAGCCACATGCACTGGCAGGACCAGCAGCTGGGACCTGTCAACCAACCTCTGTGTGAGAAGAACTCAGACTTTCTTTCTCTGTATCACAGGGCACCTTGAAGACTTTTAAAGCCATACTTTAGTCGGTCAACAAACATCTACCCAGCACTTCCTCCAGGCCAGACCCTGAGAAGGCAGCAAGACCACAGTAGCAAGTGACAAGCAGCATTCGACTCTAGCACAAAGGTCCTCACTCCTCCACATGGGGTTATGAAAGTGAAGGAGACCGATCCGGGCACGGGCAGCAGAATGCACTCCCCCAGGGCTACTCGGGCCAGGGGCGTCATGAGCCGATGTGCTGAGGCCAGCACGGAGCTGGGCAGGGAGCGGTGAAGCTGACCACCTCCTGCTGCCCCTCCGCTGGGCACTGCTACTATGGCAGCACATCATCTCCAGAGCCTGGGGCCACATGCCGCTTCTTGGCCCCGACCCTGGGGAGGGAGCAGCCTCCTCCTGCCCCCACAGGGGCCCTCCTAGCAGTCCTCTTACATCAAACTTGGCTAGGGGGACTTTCAGACATGCTTAGCTTATTACTAAGATAAAGTTACTACATTTACACAGTTCATAATCAGATTACGAAAGGAGCTCATTTACAGTGAAAAGCTAGCTGGTTTAAAACAAAAACTGCCCTTTGGAACAAGAGGCCACCCCTCTATCAGCAGCAGCAGGAAACCTTCGTCCCCTGCTATTTCCTCCACGGAGGCCGCGGTCTCATAACCTGCTCCTCTCATCCTTTTGAGAAATATGAAATCTCTTACCCTTCTCTAAATAGTATTTGAGGACTCAAAATAAGGAAGTGTGGTGTCTAAGACCAAACAAAGCAAAGGCAATTCTGATCATGCATACCTCTGACTCCACCCCAACCTCAGAACTTTTGGTTGAAACCAGTTCTAATGCTGTGTACTTGTGTTCACTGAGGTGTAATTTGCCAGCAGTGAAATGCCCAGGTCTGATGTTCACAGTCTGATCTGTCTTAACAAAATGCACATCATGGCACAGAATGAGACCAGGTTTTTGTTTTAAAATTAATCTAAAATTTCAACTGATAGGAGTGTGTTGGTGAAATTTTTAAAAGAAGTTAAATGTGGAATATTAATGGGAAGAATCAATGACCTTGAATGTAGTACTTGGTTTGATCAGAGGTCCCAACTTTCCGACTGAAGCGCTGATCATTGGGCTTGACCTGGCATATGTTGGCCCCGGAGCACGCTGGGTTCCGGGAGCTCGTGATGGTGGAAAGCTGGATTTCATACAGGTAGTTGTCCCCGTTGCTTCTCATGTCCCCAGAGGCACTGAATAGCCTGAACAGACAGAAGAGATCACACTCACTCAAACCCTTTAAGAAGGCATTTTGTTATATAAACCCAGTCCTTAAAAATAACTGTAGGGTCCAGGATGTTCCCTCTCCCAAGCGGGAGAGCGCTTTCCCCAGGGACTCCAAGGGCACCAATTTCCATCATAACCAACCTTCGCCACCCCCCCACGGCTCTGTTCTCTGAGCATTCCTGCCCTTTTCTTAAGATGCTGTATCCAGCACCACGTGGCCTTCACTCCATCTATGTGTGACCAGACAGGCACACCCAGTCACCTTGGCCACCAGACCCCAAAATCAGCCCTAATGACATTGGTGAGAAAAAAAAAAAAATGTTTTTTCTGACAAGCCCAGAAGATCCCTGTTCAAACACATGTTCAGAAAGCTTTGGGTTCAAGCCCTGGGCTTATCATGAAGGGAGGGAGGAGGGGGGACTTTATTTTTACACTTGGGAGAACTCACCATCTTTAAGGTGTTAAAACTTAATAGTTGAGTGATGTTTTTCCTCGATTTAGGCAAAATAGGATGCTGCTCCAGCAACAGTAACTAAAACACACTGACCTGTTTTTCTTGTGATACCCACGACATGGAAAGCTCGGAACTGTGGGTTTAATTTTTAATATTTCCATGCTCAAAAGGAAAATGTTTCACTTACTTAAAATAAATATCCCCGAGGCTGATGCTCCTGCCATCCACGGGGTTGACAATCGTGCCGTTCACCATGTGTACCTCCTGGGGCTTCACGGCGCAGGCGGCCCGAGATTCCCAGCTGAAGTAGTACGTGCAGCTGTCGATGTCAAACCTGGAGAGGGAAGCGGCACTGAGTCACCTGCCAGCTGATGCCAGAGGGCCGCAGCACCCCTGAAGTGACCTCCCTGACAGCCCCTGGGCTGGTCAGAGCTTCCAGATGCCGCACTTGGGCTGGCACAGTTATGTCACTCTGTTTGAGACCCAGAACAGAGGTGGTGACTGTGGCAGAGACCCCAGAACAGAGGTGGTGACTGTGGCACACCTCAGTAATGTGAAAAAGCAAGCAAACAAGTATTTAGGACAAATTTTTAAAGATTTAGCCACTGCAACATTTAAAACCTGGAAAATTTTGATCCTAGGTTTTCAGATTTTTTGTTTTATAAGCTTCCGAGACTCCTACATCAATAAATCCTCTGACAATTTCTGGGTTTCCCCCTTTCCAAACCCAGCTTTGGGATGGAATCCATTTGTTCCCAGCTCGAGGGCTCCCCCTGTCGGCCAAAGCCCACTGGCACGGGCTGAGACTGCCTGGAGAATTCTACTGCCTGCAGGTCCCAGTCTGCTGAAACACCTGGCCCTGGGTGGCCAATCACACCCCTTCAGTTCTATTATGACACTCAAAGCCAGAGGGGCAGCTGAGTGCCTCTCAGACAGCAATGAGAGTGCTATTCCTGGACCAAGAGTGGGCTTTCTAGGGCAGGCAAGGCTGGAAGTTGCATTAGTCCAGTACGTGGGTCATTACAAAAGTTGTGAGATAACATAGAAATCAAGAAAGGTAAAATCTAAATCTACAAGGATGGAAACAAATGAAGCCCTTCCAGCAACACTAGTAAGCTGAGCAAGCAGAAAACTGCTTGGGTAAAATACAAAGGATGCTATCAACTGTGTTTCTTAAAAGTAAAATAATGCACCAAAACACAGTATCACAAGTTTGTAGTGACCTTACGAGGGCACCACTCTTGTGTGAGCAGCCACTCTCCCCCATCTTCATGAAAACCCGGACCCCCCCAGGGTGGCCCCTGCACAGCCCCACCCTGAGCCCCAGCCCCCTGACCTTTTGAAGGCAGGCATGCCCACCGTCATCGAGCAGGTCAGTTCTATCACGGTGGATGCGTTCTTATTGTCACCACATGGATAACCTTTGGAGTAAGTGACAATCACTCTGTCACCTGAAACACACAAACAGGTGCACTGACGTCACTTCTTGCGTATTCTACAGGCCTCGACATTGGAGTCAAAATCCACCTGAAGGGCCAGGAGCTCTGGGTTCTCCAAAGGCTATCGATTTGCTCTCAGCACCCTCAGGACAACAGCAAGACCTGGGGTCAGACCTGCACCTCCCACTCCATGACTTGGGGTGGCCAACTGCCCAGCCCAAATGTGCAGAACAAGGACAGTGTCCCAAGCATAGTGCAGGGGTGCAGGACTGCAGCCAATGGCAGCGGTCAGCACTGCTCCAATCCCACACAAGTTCTAATACACTTTAGGTGCTTTCCAGACAGGGCCCCTCACAGGAGCATCCCAATAGCAACAGGCAGGGACTAGAAAAAGTGAAAAGCCAGAGGCAGGGGCCAACTCTGGTGTTCTCAGGTCTTCTGGCTCTAAGTCAAGCTCCGTCAGCTTGAGGGGATCACATTAAAAACAAACAAACAAAAAAAACTAATCCCTCTACTGTGCAGGGCCTAAGAGAAAAGTGGCACACTCTCTAAGTTGCCCGTATTACAGGGGCAGTGTGGCCACCAGAGTTTGACTATGTGCCACTGCCAAGAGACTGTGAGGCCTGTCCAGGGCGACAGGCTGGCCTTCTATGCCACAGCTGTCTTACACCTGTGAAATGGACCAGGATTAAATTGAATAAAGCACAACTGCTTGATAAATGTTAGTTCCTACAATAGTCTATCTCCTCACCTCCAGGGTGGGCTGTTGTTCCCTAAACGAATGCTAGGGTCCCAGTGGCTATCCTCAGATGGTGTCCCACTGAACCTTAAGAGCAAGAGATGATTTCTAGTTCTAGTCACCAGGAACTCAGGATGTCAAATGCTGGCCCCGGGCAAAACTACAAACTCTTCCTACTGGGCACACCTAACCTGCAGGATGGTACTCAGAGCACAGAAGGCGGCCGCCAAGTCACCACCAGTGAGCCAGATTATCCACTTCTAGGTTACCCAGTGCTCCTCTTGCCTCAAACTGTTAGTGGAGCCTTAAATATTTTACTCTTTTAAAGCTAGCTATAAGAAATGGGGGTAAAGACTGGCCAGATGTCCATATACAACTGCGAGATCACTGGGGAAGTAGCCACATCCTCGGGGACCCTCAACCCTTGAGTGAAGCAGGAATGGCCCCAGTAATCAACCTCCAAACGTCCCAAGCCACAGCCAATCTCCAGCTGGAGGTCTGGCCATGACCTCCAGCCTTATGGCGGCGCCTGCCTGCTACATACCCACAGGTTCTGGGTTTGCTCTTTATCAAGGATGACAGTAGATTCCTCAGAATCCCCCTTCTCTATTTCAACATCTCAACCTACTGAAGCCATCCTACGGTTGCATCACGATAACGTGGGCACTCCCACTCCAGCCTAGTAGGCAAAGGTGACCTTTTTCCTTTATCGGCCCCTCCAACACAGCCTAGTTGTCCTTAAGCTAAGAAAGTTCTGTTTTCCTCCTTTAAGTAATGAAAAAGAACATCTTTCACTAAACAAGGAAGTATAAGATGAATTTTCTATTAAAATTATTAAAAGGATCATTATCATTTTTAAAATTGTTAAGACATTACAAAAATGTGCCCCTTCACCAAGTCCTGGTGCCCGTCTGGCTTTCAAACTTCTGTATATGTCAATCTAGGCACTGGATCTGCAGCTAGAACACGCACCTCAGAGGGCTCAGAATGGTCTTGCCTCCTCCTAGACAGAAATGCCTTCACAAGTCAGCTCAACTCCTGCAAACTGGGTGGGAACCCTGGTCTCACATAACACAGAGCAGCACTTATCCTAATGTTCCAGGAGTTGTCAAAATGCCTGAGAGATGGTCACCGGGAGTATCAGTAACATCTGGAGATCTCCACCAAAACCTGTGTGGAGCTCCCCATCACACCCGGAACACCTCACCTTCCCAATTCAAACGGCTCCATGCACCAAGCAGAAGGACCCCAAGGCCTTACCTGAAACATCCAGCTTCTGTGTGTGAACAAGTCCCAAGACCTGGACCTCACCAGTGGGGCTCTTTCTGCAAATGCTGGCTCTTTCAGAACACTCAAGGGGCCCTTTATATATTTTCTGGCACAAATTTATATAGTACCTATAAAATGACAGAAAGGGAAAGGGAGAGGAATGCAAGTTAAGTCTTGAGGTGGGGCTCTTTTAGGAAAAAGTTTAACAGTTCTAATAACCAAGTGTTCCATCCCATCCTTGAATGTAGCACTAAAATAGCTTTCCCAATAAGAAAAGGACAAAGAGTTAAGTAATCACGAAGGAAGTGGCTCCCAAACCAGATGTGGCGGGGAGGAGGGGGTGCCCGCACCACAGTGCAGCAGAAAGAAGGCTCTGGAGTCGAGGCAGGCATGACCCAATCCTGGCTAGCTGTCCACCTGACTTGGAGCTACTTAACCCTCCAAGTTCACCCCCCTGCTCTGCAGCGACACCTTTTGGGAGTGCCTGGCAGAGTGGGCTCTCCCCATGTGGGGCAGTCAGGACCAGTAACCACCCCAGCCAGCAACACGTAAGGAATTCTTGCCAAAGACCTGAGAAAACCAACACACCTTCCCACACACGGGAGGACACACAGAGGGAAAACCTGCCTCCTCCAGCCAGCCCAGTGTCTTCTTGGTTCTGAAGCCTCCATTTCTGTTCACCCAAACTCCCCTCACCTCCTCCAATGTCAGAGGACTCCTCACATACCATGACAGACATTCTGATAAAAGCCATTGCCAGCCCCCAGCCCCACCTCTAATGTGTGGGAAGGGTACTCACACAGCCCCCTCGTGGTCCAAGGACCAGGACCCGGTGAGGGAGGACAGCTGCCGTAAGTCGTAGGTCTTGTGTTTCTGAATGAATTTGCACTCCATCTTCTTTGGAGGGCAGACAACTTTTGTCTTCCACTCAAATGTCACCTCACAGCCACGAACTTCACTGAAGACTTGGGGCCTCCCAATGTCCTCATCTTCATCACACTTAAATATGATCGTTGATGTCCGGTGGCTATTTGCTGAAGGGAAGAAGGCGTGGTAAGGGGTAGTTGCACCTGTGTCTGAGCCTCATCCCCCCAAGTCCTGTCCCCTACTCTGCCCGGCAGGCACCACTGACTCTACTCAGCACCTTCCCATTCCCACGCACAGCCCTGGCCACCTAGCACTCTGTGCCATTCACGGTACCTTAACTCCAAACAGATCCAGCTCCCTGGGTCACAGCCTCTCCCTGTACATCTTAATAACCCCATGGTATTGGCACAGTTCCCCGTAGACAGGTACCAATGCTCCATCAACGCACTAACAATCACAAAGTTAAAGTAACAACCCAATACCTGTAATTATCTAAAAACCTGAGTCCCTTTCAATGAAGCAAGAATAATGTCAAAATAGCTGTGTCAAAACTATCACAGTCGGTCTTACAAACTGACTGCCTGTAGTTCCGTAAACGGTCCTACTCGTTTCCTGGTCGTTTACAGAACCGCACGGCCTTTCACACGTGTCTCTTCCTGTGTCACGTGTTAGTTGATTCTCTCACGCTGCTCCTCTCTCAGCACCACAGGAGCAAAGGCACAAAGTTCAGCTCACCAGGAACCCCCCGCCCTCCCCACCTGCCACAGAGCAGCCATGAGCGGGTCCCCTGGTTTTCCTGAACACTCACTGGCCACCCTACAGACCCACAGTGGGCAGTCACTTTGCCAAGACATGAATTTGAAACACCAGGGCTGAAAACTGATACATGGACACAAGCCCCACCAGCTAGTGAGTGGCCAGGCCGGTCTATAGATACAGTTACCTGAGGATCCCCCTCAGCAAAAACGCTTCTCTGTGGGAAAGAGCCCTCACAGAAGGTTTTATGGAATGGAACACCTGCTCTCAAATCGGGCATCCTCAAAGGTCTCAGTACGAATCCAGCCTAGAGAAGATCTAGGGTCTACCGCCCCAGACCACTCTGGGCACAGAGCTGTCCTACTCACAGTGTCTGCAGAACCCCCACTCGTGGTCCCTGTCGTAGTTGGCAGTGGTGCTGCACCACAGCTTCGACCTTCCCTCCACAACACACTGATCGTAGCTCTTTCGGTTGAATATGAAGGGGAAGACACAGGGGTCGCCCTGCTCAGTTTCTGAAAGAAGAACAGCATCTAAGTAACCTGGGTACCAGCACTACCCCGCAGTGCCTTGCCAGGCACAGCCACCTAACATGTTCCTGAAGGACAATGGAAGTTGTCCGTCCCATACCACCCACGTGACAACCAGGGCTCACCTACCTAGGTGACAACTGAGACTTGCCTACTCAAGTTAACAAACAACTGGCAGGGCAGAGCCTGAGTCAAAGCACAAGCGTCCACACTGGGAGGGTAATGTATGTAATGGGACGCTTTGTATCAGGTCCCAGGGTTCAGCATTCAGGGAGTTTGCAGCTTCATCCCTCAGCTTCTTTCTGCTGCTAGTTTAATTTCACATTCACTAGAAATTTAAAACTTATCCCATTGCAGGTATTTACCTGGAGGGCAGTTATCACCATTCATATAATTTAAAATGACCGCCTCGTCCTGGTGCCTGTAGTCCAGCCTCATGGATGCCACCCGTCCAAACGACACCCCCTTGCTCCCCGAGAGCAGGCAGACGCCACCATCCTTACAGCCTCCTCCGTCCGGCCCAGCCGCTGGGGTGCATATCCCAACACTATACGTGCGGGAGTCTCGAGTCACCTGGACAGACAAACATCATGTGCGGCTGCAAGCAGGGGGACAGCACCTGGATCTCCAGGTGGAAAGAGAACCGTCACCGCAGTTTGTGCAGGAGTCTCATGTGGCAAAGCACAGGCTCCTGTGTCTCATCAGAGCCATGCTCACCCCTTCCTCCCCACCTCCTCTGCCCAGCAGCCCAGGCAGCCCACCGCTGTACACAACTGCCCTGGTTGTCCTGTCTGTCCATCCTGAAGCCCACATTCCTTGCGTGTGCAGTGGGGTGCTGTGAAACCGAGTGCCTCAGGGAACAGCAGATGCTGCACAAGGACACGCCCCCACAAGGACCTTGCCCTCCTCACCCCCTCTACCCTCTGCAGGCCACCACCTGCTGTACACCTGTCAGGAGGGCCTATACCAGGCAGGGGGCTCCTTCACAGGAGCCAGGAGCCAGCTCTAAGCCAGAAACACAGAGCTGCCACACCCAGACTGGCACATGGCCTGGTCCAGACACTGGTGCGACCTGACCACATGTGGATCCCAAGGCTCAGGGGGTCAGAGGCTCCAGCCACAGAGACCAGGACCCTGACGTGACCCACAGTTCACAGACATGAGGGCTAGGGCTCCAGCATAACACCAAGTCACACACCCAGAAGCTTCTTGAATAGGGGGTGCACGCCTTTGTGGGTGGCAAACTGCTGCCTCTGTCTTACAGCCAGGCTGGAGACAAAAGGATTCCCTGTGGATTTCTGTCGGTCACCTCGACCTGGCCCTGATGTGATGGGTGTGTTACACAAGTGTCCCTGAGCCACCCTGTCTGCTCCCATCTGATAAGAAGGGTCTGTATGACACCTCACTGGGTCACTTGATTCTCACAAAGTCTAAAGCACATAAACGTGCTGACCTATGACCCCAACGCCAAGTCCTGCTGTGCCCCCAGGGCAGAAACCTTCCTGACAGGCAACCCTGTACACCCCACACGAGAGTCACCACCCACAGGCTGCCAAGGTGGCCACTCTGATGGCCACAGATGCCATGTCACCTGAAACGCTCCTGGCAGCCCCAAGGTGGTGCTCACCAGGAGCACACCAGTGATGGCGAGGCTTGGGCACAGCCTTACCTACCTTAAAGGTGTCCTTGGAAAGGCTGGACAGGTTGAAGCTGTACAGCAGCTGCTCGTCTGTCACAGAGCAGCCCTCAGTCCTCACTTCGTCAGGACAGACGACCGGCGTCTCCCACTCAAACACAAAGTCACACTCACTGGTCCTTAACAGCTTAGGCATCCCCTGTTGTTCAGAAGAGCATGGGCTTCAAAACCCCACAGCATAGGGACAGCAGCCACCCACTGCACTCCCCCCACGGCAGGGGAGGGACACTCAACAGCGGCACTTCCTGGTGGCACAGATTGCAAATAGGAGCCCGCCCCATGCCCCACAGACTCCCTGGCAAGCTTAATGAGAAATAGAGAGACCTGCAATGTCTGTGCTACAGCCCCACCTGTCCCTGACAACTCAGATTGTCATTACACACAGAGATTCACAACAGGCAGTGTCCAAGAGCTCTGCGGTGTCTCCGGCCTCTGTACGGAGCTCCTAGCTGGCAGAGGTCTTTTCCTTTCCTGTTACTATGCTTTCCTCACTGCCAGTCAGCTGCTAGGTCTCTTTGTGACACTGTCCCCAGACCCACGTCCAGCAGGCTTGGGGGCTGGCTCTTACAAACCTGCTGCAGGCCAAAATATCAAGAAAGTCATCTTCACTGGAATTATAAGACATAACAGATCGTAATCTATCTCCTGAACTCCTTGGGGACAGATGGGCCTTGGAATCCATCATCTTTAGAATTTTAAGAGGCAATATGAGGTATATTATTTATACTACATGAAACATGGGCACCCCAGGACCCTGAAATTAAGCACATCAATATTTCTGCAGCAAGATACATGAATATGCACGTTAGGTGGGACAAGTAGCAGCATAAATAGCCTCATTCACATCATTACAATGGGCACCCATATTATACATCAAGTTCACAAATAAGAGTACTACTCTGTCATAGTTATCTTGATTCCAGAGGTCCTTGCTAATTTCTGAATATCAGGCTATGTCCTGAATGATTACAGCTGCCCACAAGCCTGACTGATTTCCCAATAAGAATAAAATCTGTAATATCACAGTAACAAAGAAAGTTCTGACCCTGGCACATAACAGCAAAGCTGAAAGCCATTTCTACGCTCCAGTGCTCCCTGGTTTTCAGTTGTAGCAAGACTCCATGTGCTGCTCACTCTGGGTGAGCCCACTCAGCCCTCTACAGAACGGTCCTCAGTTGTTCAAACATGACTCGAGGTCCCACACCATCTGAGGCAGACTTGTGAATGAGGCTCTCCTGGACCTGAAGTGTGCTGTCTGGTTATCCAGCCCTGACTCACTCAGCTGCATTCCAGGACCTACACCCGCAGGCAGGACACTCACCATGCTCACACCTCTCTTGCAGTGAAAAGCGATGAGTGAGGTATAGTTGAAATGCTTGTCTGCTAGGCAGGGCGTGTTGCTTTCAAAATTCAGGTAAACTTCTTTTGCTATCGGATTGAGTATTGGAGGTCCTGAGACTCGGCCAATATCCTAAGAACAAGAACAAGAACAAAGAGTTTTCAGGAAATTAGGTGTTCCCATGATCAGTGGGGTAAGAGCTAATACAGAATTGCAAAATCAAAAAAAAAAAATAAAAAGAATTGCAAAATCCAAACCACGGTTCTAAAAATGAGCAGTATCTAAAAAAAATGAGTTAATATCAACTCAAGTAAAAATTCTGGACATTAAAATACTGCAAAGGAACTTCCCTACTTTGTCTATTAGTTTCAATTTTGACCCTTAGCTTATAATTACCTCTAAGTAAGGTAGGTTCTATTTCTACACGTATTCAATTTTCAAAGATTCTACGCACTAGGACTTTCTCTCTTATCCAGGGTGACATAGTAAGACCCTGTCTCTTCAAAAAAACAAAAACACCAGGCTCTGAGCCCACTGCACAATGGTTATGGCATCAGCCACATACACCAAGGCTGGCTGGCGGGTTCAAACCCAGCCCTGGCCATCTAAACAACAACAACTGCAACAAAAAGTAGTATTGTGGCGGGTGCCTGTAGTCCCAGCTACTTGGGCGGCTGAGGCAAAAGAATCACTTAAGCCCAAGAGTTTGAGTTTGCTGTGAGCTGTGATGCCACAGCACTCTACCAAGGGTGACACAGTGAAACTCTGTCATAAAAAAAAAAAAAACCAACAACAAGACAAAACAAACAAATCAAGAACAGGCTACAAAGTCCTCTATCAAACTGCTGGTGGAAGGCAGGCAGCAGGAACCCAAGAAACATCCCTGCCCCAGCCCCTCCCACTGCCCCCCACCTCCTGGTGCTGCCAGGTGTGTCCTCAGGGGCAGGGACAGGTGTTGTTCACTGTTGATTTTCATTGGTTGGCACAGCATCTGACACATGGTAGCTCGTCAATAATTACTTCAGAGTAAACAACTGGGAGAAAGGCAGGTAGCTAGGAAGGGCGTGTGTTATGCCATGCGGGTGTGCACACATGTGAGTGCTCACACACGAGTATCTCCCCCATGACTATGTCCTCAGCGGAGTCACTCTGCACTCATCACCATGGGCATACTCAGAGCACAGGACACACAACACCCTCTCCAATAAAGAACGTACCACAACTTCTCAAACCTGATCAGAGTTGGCTAAGTAGGAAAATATAGATCAGACCTCCCAGAAAAGGACTCGAAACGGAGGCCCCCAACCCGTACTGCTGGAGACGATGTTACCAGAGGCCTCCTAGGAAGGTCAGGTTAACCCAGGCCCTCATCTCTGTCAAAAGTACACCATGACCACACGGTGGCTCACACCTGTGGTCCCAGCTACACGGAGGCCAAGGAGGGAGGATGACTTGAGTCTAAGACAGGTGCATTCAAACTGCAGCCCACGGGCCACATGTGGCCCGTCTAGGACATTTATCCGGCCTGCCAGGTGTTTTTGCTGCTGCTGCCTGTCCTGCTTAGCAGCTGACTCATCCCAGGGCCCCCAGTCTGGCCCTCCAATGGCTACAACCAAAAAATAGTTGGGCATTGTAGCAGGCACCTGTGGTCCCAGCTACTTGGGAGGGAGAGGTAGGAGAATCACTTGAGCCCAGAAGTTGGAGGCTGCTACGAGCTGTGATGCCATGGCACTCTACCCAGTTCACTGAGGGATAGTGAACTGGCCCCCTGTTAAAAAAGTTTGAGGATCCCTGGTCTAGGAGTTCCAGATTACAGTGAGATATGATAGGCCATTGCCCTCTAGCCTGGACAAGAGAACAAAACTCTGTCTTAAGAAAACAAAAGCATAAGGCCAAGCATGTTGGCTCATGCCTGTAATAATCCTAGCACTCTGGGAGGCCAAGGTAAGTGGATTACTTGAGTTCTGGAGGGTGAAACCAGCCTAAGCAAAAGCAAGAACATGACTCTACTAAAAAGAGAAAAATCTGGCCTAATGGTACACACCTGTAGTCACAGCTACTTGGGAGGCTGGGGCAAGAGGATTGTTCAAGCCCAATAGTTTGAGGTTGCAGTGAGCTATGAGACCATGCCACTCTACCCAGGGCACAGAATGAGACTGTCTCAAATTTTAAAAAAAAGAATGAAAAATTATAAAAAGGAAAAAAAAAAAAAAATGACTTGGCGCCTGTGGCTCAAGCCAGTAAGGTACCAGCCACATACACCTAAGCTAGTGGGTTCGAATCCAGCCTGGGCCTGCCAAACATCAATGACTGCTACAACCAAAAAATAGCTGGGCATTATGGCAGGCGCCTGTGGTCCCAGCTACCTGAGAGGCAGAGGCAGGAGAATCGCCTGAGCCCAGAAGTTGGAGGTTGCTGTGAGCTGTGATGCCAGGGCACTCTACCCAGGGTGATAGCCTGAGGCTCTGTCTCAAAAAAAAAAAAGTAAAGAAAAAAAACTCATACTATAACCATAGATATGAACATAGCTAGCTTTCATTTCCAAGGACTAAAACACACCAAAGATTTAACAAAATACTAATATAACTCATGGAGATAATGTTTAAAGATCCAAATCTGTATCAAAATATGGTAGCAAAAAGCCAAATTTCCATATTTGCAGAGCATTCAGCTATCAGCAAAGTGGCTTTTGCCCTTCATTATGGTGTATGACCAAGGAAAGAGCTTGTGTTTCCCAAGTGTTTTAATTGCACAAGACAAGCCTTCAGAGAAACTGGGACATGCCAATGTGCTTTCTTGCCACTTTACCTGAAAATCTCTCTTGATTAGAATCAGCCCTGAGGCTTCTAACATGTCACACAAAGGAAGTGCCTATACACGTGTGTTCACCTCATTGACCCATGGCTCAGAGACGTTCTGGCTGCCATCCCCACCTGGTGATGGTTACCATGCACAAACTGTCTGGTTGCCATTACCACCTGGAGGTTCCACACACAAATCTTTATGTTACCCTCTTCCCTGCAAGTGTCCAGAGCGCCCAGTCCCTGCTCGTTTCCCCATTTTCTCTCTGCCTGAGCAAATCTCCCTTGAAAGAAAGCAGCACAATCTGAGGTTACTGCTGAAAGTCTTGCAAAAATCATCTCTGCCCTGGATTGCCCGCACTTACTATGGGGGGACCCTTGACAGGAACTTTGCACACAGCGGCTCCAGCAGGACATGGCACCCCATGCATGGGGTTCAGCGGCTGGCATATGTTGATATAGAAATCAGGGGTGGTATCGGAGGCGTCATCCTCACTCTCGTCATAGGCTGTGTAGCCACCAGTGCGGTGAATGAGAGGGGACAAGTCAATGATAGAGCTTCCGTTCCTCACGGAACATTCTGTCTGTTACATAGAAAAAAACTGCATTAAAGTTGACAAAAAAAAATTTCTTAATCACCACTAAATCACATAAGAATTTAAAAAAGAACAACTAAAACAACAGAGCAGTAAGGGTAGGTTAATGTCTCAAAATGCTCCATCACAGGGCACCAGGCTGTGCTGGTCAGCTTCAGACACTGGGACAATAGGAGTGGACAAGGTCTACTGATGAACCCAGTGGCAGGACCTGGTGCAACTGATGCCACCCACACCATCTCCAGACTCACTGGGCGCTCGCAGGCCAGCGGTGTGTGCCAGGAGAAGAAGAGCGTGCACGTCTGCTTGTCCAGCGAGATGAGCATGGGTCTGTTGGTGGGCCCGGCCTCCGGCCTGCACACAAAGCTGATCACGCTCTTGTAGCTCAGGCCAGATTTGGAGGGACAAGGGGACCCGTCCTCATATACTAGCTGTAACACCTGGTCCACATAGGTCAGCCGCTTGCTGGCCTTGCCCACGCTGATCCTGGTCTGACCGAAGCAGGCCCCTGCACCACAAGGAAGAGTGGAGAAAAGAGCCATTATGGACTCAACGGCCAACAAGGACAAGCAGAAAGAAGAGCCATTATGGACTCAATGGCCAACAAGGACAAGCAGAAAGAAGAGCCGTCGTGGACTCAATGGCCAAACAGGAAGAGCAGAGAGAAGAGCCATCATGGACTCAATGACCAAACAGGAAGAGTGGAGAAAAGAGCCATCATGGACTCAATGGCCCATTTGCTGGTGAGAACTTTCAGAGAATCCAGACTGTTAACTTCACAGTTAATACATGTAGTTTACGTGTCCAAGATGGTTTTGGCCAACATTATACCTTTAAAATTTCAGACTGCTACAGGAGATGAAGGAGTGTGATCCTGGCTCTGCTCACCACATGGTTAGGCCAAGGGCAGCCCAAGGGAGAGACAGCCAGACGCTACTCCCGAAACCCAGGTACTCACCCACGCCAGGAGAGCAGTTTTCATTCTCCCCACAGACACTCATGTAGACGAGGCCCTTCTCACTGTAGGCAGCTGTGAATCCTGTTCTGCCACTTAAAGAGCTCAGATCAAACAAGTGTCCTGTACGGTTGGGGGAACACAGTGACCCCAGTGGGCTCCATCAGTGTCAGGGCTTGTGAGTCTTGCCACAACTCACTGCCTGGCTCACTGACACTGCCGTAACCACTCTGACCAGCTAGTGTGTCTCCTGAGATGTGTCCCCAAATTTGTTCATGAGACAGCCCACCTTCTCACCAAAGATGGTGGCTCACAGCACCCTCTCCACTGGGAACATAGTGCAGCAGCCACTAGGACTTCCCAAGAAAACCCCTCTAGTAGAGGAATGCCCCCTGTGCCTTTCTGGGTGCCTAGCAGAGGAGAGTGGAAGTGTCCCAGCCCATCCAGAGAAAGGCCAAGGCCACCACACATGCCACACACTTCTGCCCAGGATGCCTGCTGTCCACAGTTTCTTCCTGTGTCCCTCCCCTGAGCTGGGCTTGACAATGGCACTGACTCTCACCTGTGCTGGGGTTGGTGACCTGGCAGTCATCGTGCTGGTTGCTCCGCACAGGACAGGCAGCAGCTGTGGGCCAGGAGAAGGTGTACTCACAGTCTTCCACAGCGCTGATGAACATGGGTCTGGAGTTCTGCAATCAAGCACAGACTGGTCCCAGGGGATGGGAATCTGGATCTCTCCTAACCTCCCCTCCACAGCGGGAAGCTGCTCTGTGGGGAGCCATGAGCACATGAGATTATTCCTAACTCGGTGTACTCTGGGGACCAGGTACAGATGAGGACAGCAAAGGATGAGGACGTGGCTCCTGGGGTACCACTAGGTGCGCAGCACCCACAGGGAAGGTAAAGACGCCCAGAGAGCCCACGGAGGGCCCAGGAAGGCACCTCAGGCTGAGGCACAGGGCAGGCGGAGATGGGTAGCCAGGGTGTGGAGGCTTACTAGGAGACATGAGAGGGAAGATGGCGGAGAGGATTCTGAAAACATGTGAGCTAACGTATACTATGTGGTCCCAACACAAAGCCACGCCAGGAGAGCTCCTTGTTCACAACCGTATGCATCCCTCCACTTCTCAAGCCAAGAATGCTATCTGCTTCACCACAGGATCAGTACAATTCGCTCAGTGGCACCCTCCTTCCTCGGTAAACCCTGAACAGCTCTGCACCCCCATCAATAAGCCTGGGCCCCGGTATAGAGCTCCCCACCCTGCCCCATATACCCCACATGGTGGGGTAGCCTTCTGTCCTGTCTGTTCAGCCAGGGACAAGAACCACAGGGGCTGGGATTCCAGTGCCTAGAGGCTCCCACATGTAGGGCAGGGCTCTGCACGCTCCTCCCAAGAGGAAAGCTACTATCCTGATCACACCTGCACACAGAGCTCACCTCAATCTCACCAAATGAACACCATTAGCACCTGCTTTTCCACACCCCAACCCAGCAGGGAAGACTCACCCCCACTGATCATCCACCTGCCACGGTGATGCCTGGCACTCCCTACCTCTTCTCTGGCTACCCCACAACAACTGGCAAGGCACGACAGTGACCAATGAGGAGTGCGTGAGTAACCAGGTTACACGGCCAGCGAGTGGAAGGGGCCCCTCTGACCAGGTCTGTCTGACCTCTCACTCTTCCCAAGCTGCCTCCCTGAAGACAGAGGACGTGCTGTCCAGCGTCAGTATCCTCTGCAGCCTTTGGGAATCTGAGTAATTCTCAGGCTAGAAACACCCTGTGGAACCTCTCAGGAGCCAGAGAGAAAGTGTCCCCGGAGCACAGGCTGAGCGATGCTGGACTCTCAGCCTCAGTCAAGCAGGTCACCCCGACCTCTTGAACTCTCTCACGAGGATGTGGGTCTCCCTGACCACTGGGTCTGTGCCACTCCCACAGCTGCAGTAGGGCTGTCCCTTACCACTTGGCTCTCGCTGCAGGTGAATCGGATGGTGGTTGACTTTTTCCTAATACGGTCTGGGCACACGTCACCATCGACATACTTCAGGACAATCACGCCGTCTGTCCACTGAGGTCCATCTCTCACCCTGCCCAGGTTCACAGGCTGGGCGCCCCCCTGCAGACATGCAGCAGCTTCTGGAGGGCAGGGTGCTGCAATACAGCGAGGTGAGATGTCAAACTGGCCACAGCGCTTCTGTCTGTGGCCCCAGAACACCCACTATTTCTTTCACACAAGTCAGATGACAATGACACATCTGTTAGTTCTCACTCATTTAAAAGTCATTCTACCACAAGCAGATTGAGGACAGGCCTTGACTGTGGTGGGGGATCTAAGATGTGACAGTTTGAAATCACTCCTGAGCCCCACATATGATGGAGCTGAAATTCCTAGAGCAAGCCAATGGGTCCATTTAAACGGCCCACATTCCTGTACTCTCTTTAATAGAGAAGTCACCAAATACTCTGCTCATTTCCCAGTCCCTGAACCATCTGTGTCATCTGCCCTGAGGAAAGACACAGTCCCACACCACTGGTGTAAACCACAGTGTCATACTTTGGCCAGCTAGACTCAGCGAGGGGAAGTGGGCCCACAGCCTGAATCCACACAACCCAGGATGTGTGGAAATGGAATGTCTCATGTTCAGGACTCTGAGAGGCCACGAGGGACACAAAGATCACTGGGGACTGCTCTCAGTCCCACAACTGGCTCCTAGTCTGGCACTAAAGGGTCTGAGCATGCTGTCCCCATGTCATGAAAGGGCCACCAACACTACTCTAGACAAACAGTGGCATGCACCAGGATGTCCTACCTGCTATAGAAAGTTACTTCCCACCACTGTAATTTTCATCTACCTCCACCCTCCATGTTCAGATACAGTTATGTTCCCAGCGGAGTCCCGGGCCACACACAGGACTGATCATTAAGACCCTCAAGTCAGTCTCGGCTCGGCGCCTATGGCTCAAGCGGCTAAGGCGCCAGCCACATACACC